CACAAAGCACAAGCACAAGCACACAAAGCACAAGCACAAGCACACAAAGCACAAGCACAAGCACACACAAGCACACACGCAAGCACACACAAGCACACACAAGCACAAGCACAAGCACAAGCGCAAGCACAAGCACACGCACAAGCACACGCACAAGCACAAGCACGAGCACAAGCACGAGCACAAGCACGAGCACAAGCACAAGCACACGCGCAAGCACACGCGCAAGCACACGCGCAAGCACACGCGCGCATGCACGCGCACATGCGCGCGCGCATGCACGCCTGAGCCCGTGCAGCATGATGAAAGGGTGTTTTACACATGGCATCAAGCAATGACGTGTTTCAGAGGGGATCGGGCCAAACTTGCATGGAAGTAAGAAGGAGCAGAGTGGTGCATAACTACTGGAGAGCTCACAAAGTGCCCCAGCAGGGGGCTCCCAGCAATGCGAGGAATGCGCCTCCCACTTCGTCCAGCACGCGCTACAGCCGCACTCCTTCAGCTTGACGACGCTGCCTCAAGAGGCAGAGGAAGAGAAGAACTCTTTGCCATCGGCTCGCGCCGAAGAAGTCGCAGAGGTTCTCATGTTGAGGTTTTTCGGGTTTTGAGGGCTTTGAAGGATTTTTCAGGAGTTTGAGAGATATCTGAGGGTTGGCCTTGACTCCGGCGCCTTTGTGGGGAAGGACCCTGAAACATACCCTGAAAAGAAGACCCAAAAAACACACGGAGCCTAAAGGTCCTAGAGAACACGTGCTTAAGGGCCGGCAAAATCATCTCAACAAACGCTCACTCCGAGGCCCATAAACCTTTTCAAGTCTATAACCCCTTCAAACTTCGAAACGACGAAGACCTGGCGCCCGACGATGCTAAACCATTATGCAACTCCATGCCGATGTGCGCCGAACAAGTCGAGGCACTTGTGGCAGGGGGTTTTAGGGTTTAGGGCTTAGGGGGGCTTAGGGATAAGGCCTCTGTTCCGCCCCCCATGTTCCTCAACCAAGCTATCTAAGCATGAAGCAAAGCAATAGCATCACAGGTGATCCAAGACCGATGTCATCGGGTTCACAGCTTGGTGCAAGTGAACTCTTCCCCATCACACCAAGCTTCACGAGGCTCAACCCTTGTGCCGAGACACCGTCCTTCGGCTCCGTCACTCCCAGGCACTTGCCCTGACCGCGTTGTGTCACCCGTTGCACATGTAAACCTTACACAGCTGTCAAAGTCCTGCCACTTCTTCCGGTTCGTGGGCTTCGTCCTTTTGGGGGAGGAGAAACCTGGAGAAGCGTTCGAGCGCCTGGAAGGACAGTGCGCCCTCAAAGGCCGGCGTCTCCACTCCTCAGGTCACAGGGCGCTGTCGGCTCCCGGCAGCAGTAACGCGTGGCAGCGTGGCAAACTTCCACTCACAGCCAGGTCTCAGACCAAGCGTCCCCTACTTTTTGCAGGTTGTCAGAGTGGCTCACAACAGTCACATGGCCAGTTCTCGACATAAGCATGATCCCTTTTTCGACATCTCTTGGGCCTCTACTTTCGGGCACAAAACAACTCACCAGTTCGCGCATAAAGCCCGGAAGAGGGTGTAGAGTTGGCCATCAGAAGCTGGTGGCAACGAGTATGCTGAGTGTAGGGAGAAGGATTTGGGGTTGAGGGTCAGACAGTAATAGTAATAACAATAGTAGTAATACTCATAGTAATAGTAATAATAATAGTAATAATAACAAAACCAGGCCAGTTCCAGCTGAGGCTGAGATGTTGGCTTCATGCTCTGCAAAAGGTGACGGGCATTGCCGGTTTGGACGCACCCTTGTCATGGTAAACTAGCAAAACACTCCTTGAATCGAAGCCTCACTCACAACACCCAAAAAAGAACTTCCAACCCCAAAGCGCTTAAACGAATCAACCTCCGGGCTGTTGGCCACATTGAAGTGCAACGCTCTGATTTACACCCTCAAAACCCGGACTGCACAAAGGCACTGCAGGTCTGAACTGCGCTAAGAGACCATGCAGCTTCTCATAGGTCGCGAAGTAGTAGCCATCCTTTTTTCCGGGGCGTTGAAACCCTAACAAAAACCACCCCCCAACAGTGTAAGCCCTGAGCCGGGACCTTGGAGCTGAAGTGAGCAAGGAGTGCCACTCTCCAGGGGCAAGAAAATTGGTTGGGAGAGATCAGCAGGGGGGCCTATTGGGAAATGCCCCGCATGAAGGCGGTTTGCTTTGTGGAGGGATGGGTGTGGGTGTTGTAAGGGAATTGATTGTGAGGGCAGACAGACAAATTCTCGAAAAAAAGACGAGCCTGTTCTGGTTTGGGGCAAGCAAAACGGAGTGTCTCCTGGATTGGGCACTTGGGCTGGGGTCTTCGAATCTCCATATGCCTAAACCCTAAACCCTAAACCCTAAACCCTAAACCCTAAACCCTAAACCCTAAACCCTAAGCACTGCCGAGTCCTGACTGTCATCATACGGCTCGTGCTGGCAGAAGCCCTTGTCCTCAAGCATCTGGGTTTAGGGGTTTAGGGTTTAGGGTTTAGGGTTTAGGGTTTAGGGTTTAGGGTTTAGGGTTTAGGGTTTAGGGGTTCCGGGGCTTAGTGCAAGCAGGGCTTTCTTCGGCCCCGCGCTCCAACCCCTGAGCTCCATGTTGGTGAAGCTCTGCCCTCCTTCAAGTTCTCGATGCCACTTTCGGGTTTTGGCTTTCGGGTTTGGGGTTTAGGGTTCTAGGCACCTCTTCATGCACCTGCACCTCGTAGGCAGGGTTCTGGTGAAGGAACTCTCAGAAAGAGACCATTGAAAGGAGGCATTCAGCCATTTTTTTTGCTACCCAACCCTAGTAAGTATGGCAACTTCGTTAAGAGTACCCTCGCAAGAATCCAAGAATCCAGCGCTAGGAGGCGAGGGCCAGGAAGCCCTCATCAAGGCTCAGGGTTTGGGCAACCCACCCGAGGCCCTCTTGAGCCTTTGAGGTTTCGGGTTTCGGGGTTTCCGGGTTTAGGGTCGAAGGGTTTCGGGGTTGTAGGGGTTTTTGGCGGTTCAGTGGCTTAGGGCTTTGTGATTTTTGTGCGGATGCTTCCAATACGCGTGTACCTGAGTTTTTCGGAGGCCCCATGCGGAGCTCCGTGAAGACCAGGGCCTCCACCGGATCTTTGACCGACTCTCGCTGGCTCTGAGTGTTCTGGGGTGAGGTCTTTAGGAGCTTCAGAGGGGCTCTTAAGACCAGGACCCACCATGCAGTCCTTTGCAATGGACGACCGGAGCCAGCACTGGTATGGGGCGTAGCCTGGGGTCTGAGGCTGGGGCTTGATTTGAGGGGCTTTTTCGGGTTTAGGGTTTGGGGTTTAGGGTTTAGGGTTTAGGGTTTAGGGTTTAGGGTTTAGGGTTTAGGGTTTAGGGTTTAGGGTTTAGGGTTTAGGGTTTAGGGTTTAGGGTTTAGGGTTTAGCAGCATTTGGGGTCGGTTGATCTAAACCATGGGCCCTTGTGGGCCCTCTATGACCCGAAAACGCTGAATCCTAAACCCGAAACCCAAAACCCGTCCTTGCAGTTTGGGGAGGGCCGTCGGGTGAGGGCTCCCGAACCCGAACGCTGCGAAAGCGGCCACAACTGCAGCTTCCAGAAATTCGCGCGTTCGCTCTCTTGCGCTCCTTTTGTTAGGACATTCATGGCTTTAGGGGCTTAGGGTTTAGGGTTTAGGGTCATTAGAGTTTCAGGTTTAGGGTTTAGGGCTTAGGGTTTTGGGTTTAGGGTTAACCCCCCCCCCCCCCACATGCAGATTCGGCAGCGGTGGAAGATGACGAAGCCACTGCACTGTGGATACCTCTGATGGGCAGTTTGGGAGTTTGGGATTCCTGGTTTTCCCAGGGTTTCGGGCTTCGGGGCCTGCAGCGCAGCTTTCGAAAGAAGGCCTTCTCACCTAAGGCACCTCCGAACCCGGCAACAACATCTCGAAGAACTATCCAGGACCACAAAAAAAGGGCTTTCGAGATCTGGAGAATGCCCACAACGCTCCGAAGTTTTTGAACCCCAAAAATCCCCCCAAAGAAACCTGGAACCGGAGGGTCTTCGACGCCTTTTTTGGGACAAACCCGGCAAGGGCACATGTTGCAGCGCACTGCACACTGGCTCATGGTCTTCACCGCCATACGGACCACCGGGAGCCTCAAAAGGGGTGCCAGAAGAGGAAAAGCGGAAAGGACCCTAAACTCCACAAAGAACCACAAGCAAAATGGCTTCATGCTCCCTCGTGTCTCAGATGCGGAAAAATAGAACTGAATGCCTCAGAGTCTGTACTCGCCTGTGCTTGCAGAGCGCGATGCTTCCTAGACTCCCCTTGACTAACCCCGCTGCTCACAAAGGCAAGCTTTCTCCCAAACCCCCCCAAACCCCTAAACCCTAAACCCCAAAACAGGGGAAGGGGGGGAGTTGGGGGAGGGGAGGGAGATGACAAAGTTGCTGACCAGCGGCCCTTCCGATATCGCCCCTCGGTGATCAAAACCTGGAGGAAGGGAAGGGGAAGGAGGGAGGGGGGGAGGAAGGGGGGGAAGGGGGGGGTGGAGAAGGGGGGGGGGGGGGGGGGGGGTTTTGGGTATTCAGAAAAGGACTGAAGAGGTTTTGGGCATCCCCTTACAGGGGCACCTCCACACCTTCTCTCCCAACTTGCTTGCGACCTCGCGGTCTTCTACTCACCGCTCCTATCCCGTCTTTCGGGCATGAGCGAAAACACCTCGAGCATGGGTTTGGTGTTTCGGGTTTCAGAAGTGCCTCCCCTTCCTTTCTCTGGGCTGCAGCGAGCTTGGAAGGCGAGACTAGCAGTACTGGATCCGGGCGTAGCGCACGCGACTGTATCTCCAGACTTCCGGTCTCTGTTTCCAGGAACGAAGATGACCTCGAAGCCCTAAAGAAGCTAAAGTCCAGAACAGAAGCACCCCAAGATGTACCCCCCGTGCCAGGAAGACACAAGCGCCAGCTGCAGATCTGCAAGCACTGACAGGGCCGACTTCCCAGGCAAGAGGCAGTTCACATGGCCGAACGCCGTGTACCCTGCCAGGCAGTGCAACTCGAGGAAACTCCCCAAACTCTGCACGGCACCGCGCAGTAACTTCTACTCGAGCGCCATTGAGGTTCCTTGCAGAACTCAGAACTCAGAACTGCACCCTACATTTTTGTTTTAACAAAAAACCTCCCAAACCCCCAAACCCTCAAGCCCAGCATGACCGGAGCCCCGCGAAACGGCCTGGAATGCTGGGAGCGCTCTTCACGCCCTGACAGTGCGGAGTGGATGTGAACACTGAAACACACATGGGTAGTTCTCTAAATTAGGGTCCCTTTTTGGGATCCTTTTTAAAGGGTGCCGCCTTATAATGGGTACCCAAAAAGGGGCCCTAATTTAGGAAACCGCCCACATAGGGTTTTGCGCTCAGGGGGGTTGAGGTCTTCTTAGGGCTTAAGGGGGCTTGGTGCTGGGTGGTAAACCCTGTACTATGACTACTACCTGCAAAAATGATGGAGCCTTGGTGGTGTTCTGGCTTAGGCGACCTTGATGTAGGACCATCGGCTACGATGGAAGGTTTTGACAGAGAGAGAGAGAGAGACAGAGGAAGAGAGACAGAGGAAGAGAAAGAGACAGAGACAGAGAAAGAGAAAGTGAAAGAGAAAGAGACAGGGAAAGAGACAAAGAAAGAGAAAGCGAGAGAGGTTGAGCAAGACAAAGACACAAAAAGAGAACGAACGCACAGAAGAGAGCTATATGTATAGTAAAATCCGTCTGTGCATTTGTGTATGACTGTGACTCTTGAGGCTCTTACGCTACGACACTGCAGCCCAGGCACTGTCTCGAGAACTGATCGGACCTGCCAGTCCAACTTTCAAGTGAGGACCCCAAGAGAGGATGCCCCCAAACCCCCACAAGCCTGACTGGCCCAAAAAAGCTTCCGGGTGCCAGGGAGAATATAAGGGGGGGGGGGGGGGGGGGGGGGGGGGGGGTGGGACAATTACTATAACATTACTATAACCCCTTTTCAGGACTGCTAGTATACGAGGGAACATGCCAATCTGGGGTTTTTTGGGTGTCAAGCCCGGCAGGCCGGCCTCGGTCTTTTCCGCCTCCGCCATGTCCATGCCATTCGCCATCGAGGCAGATGACCGGGCTCGCGTCCAGCCTCACAGTCCAGCGATACTTGCATTTATCAAGATAAAAATTATTTATTTAATAAAGAAATTAATTAAAAATATTTAATAAAGGGGCTCGGTTTAGGGTCACACTTTGCCAGTTGGCACCCGCAGTCCACGGGACCTTTCTTGGTGTCGGGTTCAGGGTCTAGGGGGTTCAGCTTGAAGTATGAGCGCCAAAGCACGAAACCCTACACCCTGGCTTACGGGGTCACACGTTGATATCTGGCCGTGTGGCGGCGGGCCTGTACATTTTAGGGCATACACAGCAAGTTCTGTAAATTACAGGTGCGTGTGGCTGTGGCAATGGAGGGATTCCTGCTTCAGGAAATCCTGGGACTCAAACTTAGGGCCTTAGAGCACTCATGCCAGCACACCTTCCCAAAGTGATCCACAGGCGTTCGCTTTGGGATCCAACTGCGAGCGCCAGACCGAGCTGTAGATGTGTTCGATGAGACGTTGCTGAACTTAAAACATCCTCCAACAATATGTTGTATAAAGAGGCAAAAACGCTGTAACTGGCAGGGTTTTGGGCATGTTCGCAGTTGGCATGAACACTTGCGCCGGCGCCGCGTGTTGCTGAATATCAGACGTCCTCCTGCAACATGTTGCATGAAGAGGGCAAAAAAACGCCGTTAACAGCGGGATGTTTGGAGTAACATGGTCGGAACCAACCCCCCCCCCCCTCCCACCCCAGCCACAACCCACCCCACCCACCCCACCCACCCCACCCACCCCACCCCACCCCCCACCCCAGCGTGAAGAAAATCACATGGGCAAATACCAACGTGTGTGGGCCTAGGGCTGTTTCAGTTCGGGGGTTCGCTCGTGACCTCAGCAACAGTCTTTGCAATGCATCGTTTTTGATGTGTACGGTTTGCCGGCCCCCCCCCCCCCAAACCCCTAAACCCTAAACCCTAAGCCCCACTTGAGAACAACGCAAGCCCCTTTCCCAGAAGACGGCACCAATCATTCCAGGCAGCCAAGCCGATAGTCGATGAGGCCGGCGCCCACAAGGACCGTGGCGAAGGTCGCCACCTCTTCTTTCCATGTGCACCCTAAACCCCGAAGCCCCCAAACAATACTCATCTTGGCCTCACTCTACCAAAAAAACAGAAACCCGAAGAAGGACTGTGGCTTCTTTGCCGCGCTCACGTTGGCCTTCGACAGCTCGTTAGCTTCAGGCTTCTTGGGATTCCTCCCTGGCTCTGCTTCAAGAATGCTGTCTTGCACAGGTTGTTTTTCGGGATTCCTTTTTTGTCCACGGCCTTTACTCCGTGGGGTTTAGGGTTTAGGGTTTAGGGTTTAAGGTTTAGGGTTTAGGGTTTAGGGTTTAGGGTTTAGGGTTAGGGTTTAGGGTTTAGGGTTTAGGGTTTAGGGTTTAGGGTTTAGGGTTTAGGGTCTCACTGCCACGGCACCAGCTTCACACTTAACGGCAATGGCATCTGGCGCAGCAACGTGCATGTACCTCCACAGGGTTCCGGGTCATGGGGATGGTGTAGCACGACGAAACCCTGAGCCCTACACCCTGAATCTTACACCTAACTCTAAACCAATCATCCGCGGTCATCCAGAAAGTCCCCTCCCCTGGAATCCGCCACTTCCTTCTCTTGCCTCGGCGCTGGGATGGCAACATCACGACATCTGCTTCCTGCCAACCACAACCGACAATTCGATATAGCATAGTCTTATATCGTAGAATAGAAAAGACAAAGAATAGAATTGAATGGAATAGAATAGACTAGAATAAGAATCGAATTAGAATAGAAAAGAACAGAACATTAGTATATTTTAACGGGCTTTTGGGGAAGCGTCTGTAAGGTTGGGACACAAGACCCTGAGAACTTGGATGTAGAACTCAAGCCTTTGGTAACAGCCTGGTGATGATACTAATAGTGTGTGTCCGTAATGATTGGTGCGGTCCTAAGGTAGTACGTGAATTCAGTACATTCATTCACTCCCTGTCATTCACGGATACAACCCTCGTCTCGGTACACTACAGTGCCATGCAACATAATGGATACAGAGACATGTCACCCAGAAGAGAAGGCCCAAGTCAACGCGCGGTTTTCAAGGCTCACCAAGGCCCAAGTTTGGACGTGTGGCCCCGACCCACTATCACATAGGCCGAAGAACAGCCGGACACAAATTTCTAGAAAAAAAACAAACTCTAGTTCAGAATACCCACACACACATGAAAGCAAAGCATAGATGGTATAACACTTGATTTTCGAGCCACAAGAAGTCAATCCCCCAAGCCCATGCCGCCTTTTCAAGGCCTTTGAACCCTCAAGGCTTTTTCGGAAGGCCTCCTCATCACAGCTGGGCTGCGAGGGCGTCGCCACCAGTGCCCGCTGCGTTTCAGGCGTCTGCGGCAGATCCGGCATGGCTGCTCGAGCACTCGCTCCGGAGCTTGGTGCTTGAGGTCTCAGGGCTTCCTGTCCAGGTCTCCACGGTCTGAGAACAAATATCTGCTTAGGCTGCTTAGGGTCCCCAGAGAGGCTCCCTGTAGGGTCTCTTTAAGATGCAGGTCCTGCTTCGGGCAGACTGCGACCCTTGAACTCTACGTGGCTCTCCTCTCTTGAGCCAAGGCTGCAGGGATGGGTTCCGAAACTCCGGTACCTGATTGGGGTCCTAATTCTACGGGAATCCTACTATTTGGGGTGGCGCCTGCGCTGTGCAACGCAAGGGGAGGGCTCTGAGACGTCTACGTGAGCTTTGGCCGAGCTTTTGCTGTTGTTTGGGGGGGGGGGGGTGCTCTAACTTGCTGGCAATGGTCAGTGCAGATCCTGGGCCAGAACAAAAACGAGCGACCGCATCCGCGCGAAGCCCAAAACTTGAACCCTGAAAGCCGTTGCCCAAAGCCCTCTACAATAAGAAGAAGGGCTTTTGGCCTTCTAACCCGAAACCCTAAACCCGAAACCCTAAACCCCAAACCTAAACCCTAAACCCCAAACCCCACGCCCAAAAAAAACAAGCATCAAAAAGGACGGCCCTGGGCGCCTCCCCAGGCGCCTCCGTGAGCCAGCGAAGCCTCAGCTGCCAAAGAAGATCCGCCCCTGGTGGGGGGGGGGGAGGAGGAGGAAGGAGAATCTGCCAGAGAACCACCTTAAAGTGTAGGGTTTAGGGTTTGGGGTTTAGGGTTTAGGGAAAGCCCAATGAAATAATGGGATAGCCGTTAATGTCAGATAAAAAGATCTCAGATTTAGAGCTGTTGCCCAAAAGCGAGACCTGAAGATTTACCAGAGATTAATAATCCAAATATAAGACTTCCTGTACTTGAAGGCGATAAAGTCAGAAAAGAAGTGGATAATGGTGGAAGAATTGTTCATCCTGTACCACCTCCAAATTCTGAGATTATAGAAAAGGATGAGGAAGGAAAGATATGAAAGTAAAAGAATTATTTTACTTCGAATATCCCCACCCTCTCTTGGTAGAGATACTCTGGGGTTGGGCATTCCAGGGAGACTGAGGGGCTGGGCACACTGGGGTTGGGCACTCTGGGGACACTCTAGAGTTGGGCACTCCAGGGACACTTTGGGGTTGGGCGCTCCAGGGATGAGCGAGGAGTAGACCGGCGAGGAGAAGAGTTCCGGGCGAGGAGAAGAGTTGAGTTTAAAATCTAACAACCCCACACCGAGGGTGGGGAATTAAGATAGAGAAATTATTGGCTCTAGGATATACCACTTCTGGAGACCCTTGAAAGATAGGTACAAAATAATTTCCAAATCCTCCAAACAAGCCAGGCATTACTAAAAAGAAGACCATAAGAAAGCCATGCAATGTAATGCTGATATTATAGAAGTTCTGGTTTGCTGGAGATCTAATCCTATTTCCTGATGAATATAATTCTAGTCTTGTAAGGACTGATATTAATGTTCCGGAGATTCCCAAGATGAATCCAGATGATCAATGATAAATTCCTAAGCCTTTACGATTACAATTTCAAACTAGTGATGGAAACGATACGGTTAAAAGGGCGTGCTTCGTTCATTGATTCGCTCATTTGCTTGCAATATGATAGTCACGCGCAAATGCACTCATTACACTTGCTTCGTAGTTATAATACTATCCTGACATTACAACCCCAGAGAAGCTTATGACAATTTAAGTACGAAGAGAGCACATTAATTAAGAAAGAAGTAGGGGGAGTGGGGGGTAGTTGGGGAGTTGGGACGCAGCATTCATGGTACTTACTAACCAACTATAACTGTACTTATAACCCTACTTATAATACCCCTAAAGGGCTTTATAGGGGTTATCCCAATTATAAGTAGGGTTATAAGTTATAAGCCCAGTTATCATTGGTTAGTAAGTACCATGAACCTCCAAGTAGAGGCTTATGCAACTTGTACGAGAAACAAAGCTCTCCTGTGGCCGAGGCAGAAGGCCTTGGAGCTTGCTCTGCGCTTTAGCAGGAGCCCCGGGGCCTGCAAAGGGTTTAGGGTTTAGGGTTTAGGGTTTAGGGTTTAGGGTTTAGGGTTTTAGGGTTTTAGGGTTCTAGGGTTTTAGGGTTTAGGGTTTTAGGGTTTTAGGGTTTTTGAAGGACTTCAAGGATTTTGCGGAAGGTTGCAGATGGCAGAATGGGATGTTCGCAAGCGCATCTTTTCCGAAGCCTGGTCGAGCCATGGTGGGGCACTGCATGGCACTGCTACGGTAAGGGGCCCAGGTGACACGAGGGCTTTCAGGGTAGCTGAGCCGCTGCTCTCTCTGGCTTCTCGCTCGGAATGCCATGGCCTCAATTCATCATATGATGTCAGAACCGCAATGCTGATTCTTCCAAGGAACCGCGAACGGCGCTGCATGGCAAGCGCGCTTGCCTTCGTGGACCGGGCCTTATCCGACCTTATCCCACACTGCACTGCAAGAACACACAACACGCACTGGAGCACCCAACACAATGCTCATCAACACGCCAACCTGCTGCCTTCAGAACCCAGGCCCCGGCACGGCTTGGCGTTGTCGCTCAACAAGCGAGACCCTCTGCATGCGCGGGCGGACCTCGGCAGGTCGGCTCTTGACTCTGGCAAGTGCAAGCCTGCAAGGCACCCCTCTTACCGGCCTTTCAGCTGCGTGCGAGAGTCATCGCGATGCCAGCAACTTGCTGCGGCGCCAATGCAGAAGCACCAAAATTGCAACACACGGTGTCGCTCAGAATGCCTGATGTCTTGCCTCCATTCTGAGGGTTCTGAGACATCTCTGGGACCTACTGGGCGAGTGCCTGCCGCATCTCGGCACTGATCTCTGCCAAAGCCCTTGGGTAAAAGTGCTCCAGGTCCAGCTGGTACTCCAGGGTCTTCGTGACCAGCCGCTGCCGAGTTCTGTACTTGGTCACCTTGCGGTAGGCCGGGCGATGAGCTGTCTGTGCGACTTGGACTTTCTTGGTTTGCTCCTCCACTTCGTACTCGACGACAGGAGATTCAACCGTTCGGTACTTGTCCTCATCCCTGAAGCCAAATCCTAAGGTCAAGATCTTGCCAAGAGGATTCCCGCGCTCAGTGTGTGAGAAGAACGTCTGCCGCACAGTGCCTATAGTCGGCACGCGCACTCTCTCCGTGACCTCCTTCTCGACCCAGGTGATGTACTCCTCTTGGTATGCCTCCTGCTCCTGATAGGCCTCTTGGTACTCTTCACTGACCTGAACTTCTTTGCTCTGGGGCGGCGCCTCTGCGTGGAGCTGCCTGGCCTTCATCTCGACTCGGGCATTCAAGTCCTTGAGGTGCTTTGTCTGCCTGGAACTGCTTCCAAGGCTTCCAGCAGCTGTGTGAGCTGCTTCCCCCGGTCCTCATCGGAGATCTGCTCGCTCTGCCACACGACCAGCGGATGCCTTGCTTCGCCGCGGCCGCGCGCATGGTCTCCACCCGCCGGTCACCCGCCTCTCCCTGGCAGCTGCCTTTCGGAGGTCGGCCTTCGTGGCCAGCACCACCACGCTGGGTAAGACCTCCCGGCCGAAGGCCAGCGTGAAGGTCTCCAGTGTGTTGTTGAGCTGCATCGAATCGTTGGCCAGGCTGTCCGTGATGATGAACTTCAGTGACTTTGGCCGGGCGTGCGCCACGCCCAGCGCCACCCTGGCACCTGCTTCTGCGTTTGTGAAGCGCATGAGCGTGTCATTGATGCCCGGGGTGTCCGGCATGGGGCACCCGAGCTTCGTTCCGTCATACAGCTGAGCCTCAGCGGTGACGGAGTGCCCATCCCCATCTCCAATGGGGATGCAGGTGTCACCCTCCGTGAGGAAGTCCACAACAGTGGACTTACCAGCCTGTGTGGGGCCGAAGATGACCACAGCGGATTGCACAGCCATGGCGGGCAGCCGCAGTGCAAAACTTCAAGGCGCATCAACTCAGCCCACTCTGCAGCACGCAGCGAGCCTCCTCATGTGGTCTCTTGGATGGTATCAGAGTTAAGATCATGCTAAAGTCTACAGCTCCAAGAAACCACTCTTGCAAAAGGCGCTGCTTGATAAACACGCTGAGCACGGCTCCATTTCGCAGCAATGCCGCGGCAGCAGCCGGCAGCCTGCGTGGCGCCACTGCGCCTTATCGCTGCGCCTTGTCCCACACTGCACTGCAAGCACACTCGGCGCTGGCCAGAAACACGCTTGGGCGGTACGAAGGCATGAACTCCTTGCAATAGTCCATTTCCTGAACGACTGGCGTGTCTTAGTTTTGAGTTGCAAGGCTGGAAAGGCGTGCCTCACAATCCGCCCGACTGAGTCTGTAGGAGGGCAGCTACCCTGAGGTCACCAGCGCCACATTCATCCGACGCTCCGCCCGAGAGGCCCTGAACTCAGCTCCCGGCAATACCCAAAACATGGCACCCAAGCCCCCCACCAGTCCCCGTACCCCCTCTCGCCTTCGCATTCTCCGTAGCAAGGTCTTCGATTAGATCTCAGCAAGAGTTTCGGGTGGCTCAGGTTGCTTTGTTGTGAGGTTCTGCGCTTGAAGTTTCCTTGGCCAATGCTTCTGTTTGCAAAGCTTTCCGAGCTCTGGGGGCAGCGCGAGGTGCTTCACGCCGGACAAAACCCAACTTCAACATCACAGCATCACACCGCATGCACGTCCTTGCAGGCCGACATCCCCGAACCCTTGCACATCCGGCGAGCGCGGAAGAGTCCTGAGCCGGTCGCCAAATGGCGGCCGCGCTTCGTGCCACTCGCCGTCCACGATGTTGTCGTCTGGTGCGTGCCCTCCGGGAGTCGGGGGTTCGGGCACCAGAGCGTCGCTGCGAAGGCATGCCATGGCATGCCCAATATTGGGAGGGGGGGGGGGTTCGGGTCTGAAGTTTTTTTGAAGCTTGCAACCCAACATGCATTTAAAAGTTTGGCCAGCTCCTGTAGCCCACATGGCCCAAAACCCCACAAACTACCAGCTTCTTTTGAGCCCCGGCAAGACCTTCGGCACTGGCGCCCGCAGGGCCCGCGGGGGCAAGGCCGGCATCCACGGCGCCGAAGCCGAACTTTGCTGGAGCCTGGCATGCCCGGCCCCACTTCGCTCGGATCTAAGGGCTCCGGAGTTTCTCGAAGCTGTTGGGATGCTTAAAGGGGCTTGTTGGGATAGGAGGGCTGCTTTCAAAACAGCACCCTACTCCTCCGAGAGCCCCCCTTAAGAAAGCGTAGGTGTCCGATGTGTCCGCACCCCGTGCGCCTTCTCCTCTCATGCCGAGAAGGTCATTCCGCCGACGGACACCACCGTTTGCTTCGGCTTGGGCTTTGCTTTCGTCTTCGTCTTGGCTCGCGGATTTGGAGCTTGGATGCGGGGCGAAGGTCGGCTTTTGGCCAGGGCTGCTAGAAGGGAACAAAGAGCACGAAACCTGGAGAGGCTCACTTGGGGCTGCACTACCTGTTGCCTACGTTCTCGAAAGCCTGCAAGGATCAACCTCAAGAGGTCCGGAGGCTTCACGTGCTTAGGTCACGTTGTACCGGTACACAAGGTTTGCAACAGGCCAGTGCCAGCAACTGCCAGCAACCAGTATCAGAGAAAGCTGTGGAATCGCGAACTCTTGCAACGAAACAAAAAAATCAAAGGGATGCATCCTGACCAAAAATCAAAACGACATCCCTGCAGAAGTCGAAGCAGATGCCCACGATTTCAAGACTTGAAGACCCCCACCAGAAATACTTTGACTGACGTCTGGCAACCTTCGTTCTTTTGGGTCTCTTCTCGGCAGAAGTATCGATGTCGGCAGCCTGGTTCGGGTGGTCAGGGTTGAGGGCAGCAGGCTTGTTTCCAACGGGCAAAAAAGGAGTTTCAACAGTACGTGCACGACGTGCACTTCAAGAAACATATATTCCGACACGACAACGAAAGAGAAAAAGAAACTTGCGGCCTCTGCCAAAGGCTCTTGCTCCTTATCCTTCGCTTCCTCCGCCAACCTCGCCTCCTCTGCCAACCTCGCCTCCTCTGCCAGCCGCTCTTGCTCCTTGCGCTTCCCTTCCTCCGCCAACCTCGTCTCCTCTGCCAACCTCGCCTCCTCTGCCAGCCGCTCTTGCTCCTGCCGCTTCGCTTCCTCCGCCAACCTCGCCTCCTCTGCCAACCTCGCCTCCTTTGCCAAACGCTCTTGCTCCTGCCGCTTCGCTTCCTCCGCCAACCTCGCCTCCTCTGCCAACCTCGCCTCCTTTGCAAAACGCTCTTGCTCCCTGCGCGTCGCTTCCTCCGCCAACCTCGCCTCCTGTGCCAACCTCGCCTCCTCTGCCAGCCGCTCCTGCTCCTTGCGCTTAGCTTCCTCCGCCAACCTCGCCTCCTCTGCCAACCTCGCCTCCTCTGCCAGCCGCTCTTGCTCCTTGCGCTTCGCTTCCTCCGCCAACCTTGCCTCCTCTGCCAACCTCGCCTCCTCTGCCAGCCGCTCTTGCTCCTTGCGCTTCGCTTCCTCCGCCAACCTTGCCTCCTGTGCCAACCTCGCCTCCTCTGCCAGCCGCTGTTGCTCCTTGCGCTTTGCTTCCTCCGCCAACCTCGCCTCCTCTGCCAACCTCGCCTCCTCTGCCAAACGCTCTTGCTCCTTGCGCTTCGCTTCCTCCGCCAAAATCGTCTCCTCTGCCAACCTCGCCTCCTCTGCCAGCCGCTCTTGCTCCTTGCGCTTCGCTTCCTCCGCCAACCTCGCCTCCTCTGCCAACCTCACCTCCTCTGCCAAACGCTCTTGCTCCTTGCGCTTCGCTTCCTCCGCCAAAATCGCCTCCTCTGCCAACCTCGCCTCCTCTGCCAGCCGCTCTTGCTCCTTGCGCTTCGCTTCCTCGGCCAACTTCGCTTCCTCCGCCAACCTCGCCTCCTCTGCCAACCTCGCCTCCTCTGCCAACCTCGCCTCCTCTGCCAGCAGCTCTTGCTGCCTGCGCGTCGCATCCTCCGCCAACCTCGCCTCCTCTGCAACCCTCGCCTCCTCTGCCAACCTCACCTCCTCTTCCAAACGCTCTTGCTCCTGAAGCTTCGCTTCCTCCGCCAATTTTGCATCCTCTGTGATCCTTTGTTCCATGCTCTTTGCTTCCAGGATCTTCGCCTGATCATGCGAGATGCGCTGTCTACCACCAGTGGACCAGTCAAAGCGTGGGGCGTGTGCTCAGGAATAAAGGCACTCAGAACCTGAAGGTGGCGCACAGGTTCAGATTCCGCACATGGCAGCGCACGCTACCTATCCCGTGTACTCCCATACTCCCAAACGCGCGGCCCACCGCGCCTCGCGAAGCTGGGCAAGGCGAGCTCCAAGTGGCGACAGCTGGGAGAATGCGGCCGCGCGCGCCTCCCCAAACACACATCGTCAGGGCCATAGGCCAAAGGCAGCGGCGCCATTGTAAAACAAAAAGGGGTTCGCATGCTTGCGCAAGCCTCATGCATCTAAGCTACACCTACACCTACACCGAAGCATACCCCGCCCTAGCGTCTTAAGCGACCCTTAGAGTGAGCGTCATCGTACCTGCGTTTCAGCATCTGTCCCAGTAGCCCTTGCCCCCACATCGGCAGGCAGTGACAAGTATGCTTTATTCTTACTCTTCTTCTTTAACATTTAGTTTTATTCTGAGTGGTACGACTATGATTATATATGTATGTGTACATATATTCATATATGTATAATATGAACAACATCGATGCTCGGACCTCAGGGGGGCCCAGCAGGGCAAGCATCATCGACCGTTCGATTCTACTGCGCGCGACGCATCGGGGGTGGTCGGATGCGCGGAGGGGGAGAGCATCTGCAAGTTAGGCACGTGGTCTTTGTGGCACCTCTTCATTCCTAGGAAAACCTATCCCCGTGCGGGCCCGATGTTGCTCTTTTGCGGAGCTGAGAAGGTACGCAAAATGCTTCGAAGAAAAAGGCACCCTGATCACCCTTCACATGGAGGCCACTTGGATGGCGAATATCTTGGCAAATTGCTTTCTTGAATCTGCGTTCAACAACACCGCAGTTCAGATCACTTCAGCCGCTCTTTTCGGCAGAGGCTTGGTTCGGGTTTGGTAAGGTAGACAGTATCACGACATGTCAGGCACTTCGGTAGTGGTAGCGGCCTTCGGGGACGCGCGCATGCCGACAGGTGACGCCTGTAGCCCACATCTCGTCAACTGAGCCTTTGCCCCAAGAAAAGTATGAACTTTAAACATACTCACACATGTTTGCGTTTATAGCGGTATACAGTATACAGTATACAGTATACAGTATACAGTATACAGTATACAGTATACAGTATGCAGTATAACGGTCTACAGTATACAGAGCATCTAGGCGATACTCACTCCGATGAGGGGCCTCGGCTGCTTGTACCTCCGCCGGGATCTCCGCAACCGGCTCCGCGCCAAGGCCTGGGTCAGCTCACATTTCTTTATCGGGTTCTTAAGCGAGGGGGGGGTTCAAGGGGTTCCCTAATACTACTACTCCCTCAGCCGGGTCACCTGCCCCATTGCGGGAGCGCAACTGTTGGAGGGAGTTTGGGGGGGGGGGGGGGGGGATACAGTATGGGGACCCAGGTGATTGGGCGATTTTAGAGCAAGGCAGCACTGCCTTCTCAGATTCCACGGATGAAGGGAGGAGTCGCCCGTATACGCCTCCGCAAAACTCCCAGACCCCGATGCACCTGGAGTCGGTTGGGATGGCTCCACCTGAGCCAGCGGGACCTGGGCCGAGGCTCAAAATTTTGCAGGGTTTAGGGTTTAGGGTTTAGGGTTTAGGCTTTAGGGTCTAGGGTTTTGGGCTTAGGGTTTATAAGGTTTAGGTTGAGGGTCGCACTGTCGCACTTTACGAGATGTCTACCTGTGAGCGGGGGCAGAGGGGGGCGCGCAGTTCGTGCGCATCGACCTTCTCCAATTCCTGCTGCTGCCTTCTCTCCTGTTTTCTCACCGCTTTCTCCCTTTCCTCCCTTTTCACCATCTTCTCCCCCCGTTCTAAACACGAGAACGTCAGACTGAAATCAACGCCTTCTATCGCCTCCCTCCATGCCATCAAAACCCTAAACTTTTGGCCCTAAACCCTAAACGACCTACAAGATGCAATCTTCCCCCGGCCTGGGGCAGCAGAGGAGGTGCTTCGCCAGAGATTGCTGCAGCAAGCCTGGGTAGTTGGTGTCGCCCACGCAAGGAACGCTGGAACAAAAGCAACTAGATGGACAAACCAGGACACACACACACACACAGCGACACCGCGGGGACCACCCGCCGGAAGAAAAACAAAAGCCACACTGGCAGTGTTCTCAACTGCGACGGGTCGTCCGCCGAAGATGTGCAAAAAGACTCCCCCACCCGCCGAAGAAAAAAACACCACCCCCCACCACCCGCCCCGTACAGCCTTAATTCTGACCTCGAAGTCTGGTGGCGGACAAACACTCAAACGGTTTTGTAGAATCTCGGGCCGGACCGAGGTAGTCGACGCGCAAAATTTGCAATCATCTGCCCTGACAAGAAGTGCAGGAGGAGTCGGCAAGCAGCTGTTTAGCCTTCTGGGCCAACTTCTGCAAGTGCTCCTGCAACAAGCTCTCGGTCTATTCCAACCCTCTTTCAGACAACGCCTTGTACTCTGTCAGCTTTCGAAGCTTGCCAACTCCACTTTGTTGCATTTTTCAAAGGCTTGGGGGCGCTGTTGGAATCCGATGATTGCCACAAGAAGCTGAATTGAAAAGCTGTAACCAGCTCCCATAGTGCGACAAGCCCGGAACGGTAGGTGAAGGAGCACCAAGCCCCACAAAACCGCAAGTCTCTCCAATTTAGGGTTTAGGGATTTGGGTCCACAAAATCTCGCCTTCGCTGCATGCGCTTCCGCTGCTGGAGCTTCAATCTGGCGGACGTGTGTTGCAACTAGCTGCGAATCCCCACTGGATCCGAAATGCCCCGACGAGCCTGGTTTGCACCGGAAACTACTTCACAGGCTTGTAAATAAATAAATATAAATATATATATAGGGGGATGGAGAGAGAGAGAGAGAGAGAGAGAGAGAGAAAACGATTCACGGTTGCTGTTTCTTACTTGACATGACCCGAAACCCTAAACCCTAAACCCTGAACCCTCAACCCTCAACCCTCAACCCTAAACCCTAAACCCTAAACCCTAAACCCTAAACCCTAAACCCTAAACCCTAAACCCTAAACCCTAAACCCTAAACCCTAAACCCCAACCCTCAACCCTACAGTGTTCTGTACGAACTCCTCATCCGCCACACAGGCCTCGGCGATGCGGCGCCTCAGCGAGTCCCTCCGAGCGGCGCGCGCTGCCTTGTGCGGCCAGTCCTCGCGCTGCTCCGCAGGGTCTTAGGGTTTGAGCGTTAGGGCTTCGGGCTCAGGGTTTTGTTGGGGGGTTTAGGGTTGAGGGGGTTTAGGGGGTTTGGTTTAGGGGGCTTAGGGTTTAGGGGGCTTAGGGTTTAGGGGTTAGGGTGTAGGGTTTAGGTTTTAGGGCTCATAAGCTTCTTTGGCACACGCTGACGGACTGGATAGCACGGCACTCGACTTGTAGCACGGGCACTCAGCCTGGGTTCTTCACAGCAAGACGCGCAACGCGCAAACCCCAAGCCCCAAACCCTCAGCCACCAAGCCCTGAGGCCCAAAACTGGGCTAAGCCCTAGAACCTAGAACCCCAGAACCCTTATGAACTTATGAACCCTAGAACCCTTATGAATCTCGGAACCCTTGTTGGGCCGATCACGCCCAGCAACTTCAAGGCGTCCCCATGTTCCCCCTCTGCCCTTTGCATAGACCCCCGCGGGTCCAGGGCGCGCGGCAACCCTGCCTGAAACATCTGGGAACTGGAAGCTCGGGAGGATTGGGCTTGAGGGTCTTTTAGGGGGTTTTGGGACTTTTTGGGGGCTAGTAGGGTTTTCGGGAGCTTTGAGACGTGTTGGGGTTTGCTTTAGGGATTGGGATGGATTGGGGGCTTTAGAGATACAATTCTCCTTCTCTTGAGGACCCCGACATAGCTACCCTAACTTTTGGAAACCCCCCCATGGTATGGGTCCATGAGCCCGCAACCTCCACAATCCCTCTAGGCAACAGAGCATTCTCGGTCCTGCAAAAGATACAGCGGCCCCACGTTCGCCTGAAAATTTCCCAGAACTTGAATCTTGACCCTCAGAGCCCAAAGTACACACAAGCCTCTCGGTTGAACTATCAAGGATCAAGCCACGCCGAGGCCGCAGGCGGTGCGCCCAAAGTTGTCCAGCCTTGGTCCACATGGCTGTGAGACCAACTTTCCGCAGGAATCTTTTTTAAGGACCGATTAAAGTGCGAAGCCTTTTCGAATGGCACCCGAGATGAACCCACAATTCACGGAGACCTGGCCGGTTCAGACAGGTTTGCTCCGAAACCGCCGAGATGCAGTGGCGGACCCTCGGCAAAAGCCTGCAGGGAGCGGCTACAAGGCATGCCACAAGGCCACCGCTACACCACCTTCCAGTGGTGAGATGCAGCGAACACCCCACACACCCGATAACCCCAAATCCGACGAGATCGGCACGAAATGATTGAGAAAAAAACTGACAATTGGCCCAAGCACTCGGTGTGCGAGGAGAAGGTTGCACACGTCCGCATGGCCTGCAAGTAGCAGGCGCGGTGTGCACGGTCTCGCGTTGAGTAGCGGAGCTTCGCATCCAGAAAGTGCCAACTAGTTCGAGGCAGGGCTGCGGGTTTCACCATGTGGTCTGCTCTCCTCTCCTCTCCACGGAAACCGCAGCAACACGAAAATTCTGGGAAAATTCGGCTTCCCACGGTTTTTCGGCCTGCCCTCGCCGCTGCGTGGAGCGAGGTCATTCCATCGCGCTCGCGCAGAAGGGCGGCCTGAGGGTATCCCCCGAATCCCCCCCCCCAAGGAGAAATACTCCCCCAAGGCTTGACCTTCAGAAACCGGTTCTCCCTTCTGAGAGGGGAAGTACCTAACGATGCCCCAAAATTGCACTCCCCATGCTTGTTCTCTACACGGGAGTCCGGCTGCTGGATCTAAGGGAGAGTTCTGAAGTAGGGCCTCCTTGTTCCGGGGGTGGGGGGGGCCTTCGAGTTTAAGTAGCCTGCAACTATGTTCCTTAATGTTCCATACTATTTACCTGCCATGTTCTGGGGATGTCGGGCTTTTCCAGATGATTTCCTTGCACTCGCAAACCAGTACCCCTAAACCCTAAACCCTCAACCCTTTACCCTTTACCCTTTAAACCCTGAACCCTAAACGTACTGAATACGACCAAACATGGGAGAAAAGGCCGCTCCTGGAAGCGCGAGTGCGAGAGGAGGACCTGCGCACCGATGATCCGGTCATAGGGTTTAGGGTTTAGGTTTAGCGTTTAGGGTTTAGGGTTTACTGTAGGGTTTAAGGTTTTGGGTTTTTGGGGTTTTAGGGTTTAGAGGCATTGGAGTCGAGGTTGTCGGTTCCCCCAACAGTCGAAGGCGAAAAGAAAAAAGACGAAGAAGACCGCACACAGAAAGACGGAGCAAGAATCCTGGCCAAGTATGACCCAAAGGGTGTTCGCAGCCACAGCTCGGCTGTACTGACATCTGCAGCTGCCCAAGTAAAAACCGGACACAGCTTCACACAACCCTACTTTGCGGAGACGCCTTGGGATGTTCCCCCTTATACTTACAAACAGTCCTCAATAGGGATTATAATCGGGGATACTACAATCCCCATGAAGGACTTGCTAGTATCAGGGGGAACATCCCAACTTAAAACCCAAACCCTAACACTCAACCCTCAACCCTAAACCCTAAACCCTGGTAACCCTAAACCCTAAACCCCTATGCCCTCAACCCCAAGAATTGCGGAGCTCCTGGCCTCGCAGCAGTCGCTGTGGCCGTTTGCCGCAGCCATGTGCAGAGCGGTGCGGCCCAGCAGATCCTTCGAGAGGGGTTTAGGGTTTAGGGTTTAGGGTTTAGGGTTTAGGGTTTAGGGTTTGTGACTTAGGGTTTAGGGTGTTGGGTTTACAAGCTCTCGGAGATATGCTTTGACAGCTTGGGCCTCTTGATAAGGGCAGTAAATTTGATTCTTGAGATGCGCTCCTTTCAGTTTCGGGTTGGGGCTGTGGCGATTCAGGGTGCTGTGACCTGGGCTTGAAGCGAGGGCTCGGCGTCTTCCCGCCCCAAAAGTTCAGGGCACTCACCTCCGGCCCAAGCTGAAAATTTCTGTATCGATGTCATGATGTCCAGCTCGTCTTCCTTGCCAGTCTTTACCCGGATTTCTCTGCAGAAGGGTTCTCGTTTTCAAGTTGGGGTCTGGGGGGTCAAGAGTTGGAGACCAACAGGCGTTGCGTTTGCGTCCGCAAGTGGCCGCAAGCGTCCGCAAGCGTACGCAAGCGTACGCAAGCGTCCGCGAGTGCCGCGCACCTCCCACAACCACCGCCCCCGCCCCCTGCCCCCCTCTGCCGGCTCCCCCACCCCCACCCCCCCCCCCCCCAATACAAAGGGCTCCCCGCCTGCCAGGCCATGTGATCGAGTCTGCGTGTCGTACCTTCGTATCGTGTCTTCGTGTCGTGTCGTGTCTTCGTCTTCGTGTCGTGTCCTTGTCCCCTTTCCTCATGTCGTGTCTACACATTGTTTCTTGCCGAAGTTGGTGGCACGTGTCTGCATTCGGGTTCGTGGATCCTATCAGGGTGCCGGGAACTCCCCTACCGGATCTGGCTGTTGCCTGCAGGTTGTTTCTGCGTTTCGGACATCAGAGGCTGCTGAGCTTCTTGCGGTGCAATTATTCCCCAAGAACACCCGCACCCCCCCTTCCTAAGCTGCCGGCCTGGGTGTCTGGGGCTGTGAAGTTGGGATGTGTCAGCAGCACGAGGCACGCATCGCCTGAAGACAAGGGCTTGCACCTGACCCTAGAGCAGCAAAACTCGAAACCGTCAAAGCCCCCCCGAAATTCTCAGGCCAGCTCCTCGCGGGCACAAAATCACGCCACCCGCACCTGCGCCTC